TTGCTGGAAGGCTTGATGAATTGTAGCAGAGTATGGGTTGGAAAAGAAGATGCCAGTATTCTCTTCCTTTCCTTCTCACATATCCACCAACACATCAGAAGTTGAATTAGTGCAGCTGGGAATCCAAAGAGATTTGCAACATGCAATAGGACTCAGAGACTGGATCAACCAGAATTTAAATTCTACATTTAATCATTCCTGTTAGGCTAAGCCTCAAAATAACACTGAAATACTGCTGTAGCCCTTGGTTTGGCTTTCACGTCACTGGAAATTTCACAATTTTCCATTGTTCACAAATATCCAACCTGCAGAGACTCTTGATACCAGCTGCTATGTTTATGAGAAATGCACAAAACTATATAATTCAGCACTGGTAACTGTTGTGACTTAGCAGCAGTCTTCTGTGAGTCTTTTCGGGATGCAAGATTAATTATGCAGCTGGGGCTCGTTAGGGGCANTCAATGTTTGCAGAAAGAGCCAAGCCTTTGTGACCTTCTGAAAGGGTAAAAGAATAAAGTTCCCAAATCTCAAGTGGGAGACTATTTCAAAGGCATTGGTAGCTACAGAGAAGGCACACTTCCAAGGTCTCAGTAGATGATACTTGAGAGAAGGGAGATTAGCCAGGTCAGGGTTACTGGAACTCTGTTAAAGAGGGTAAATACACAATCTTGCCAACATGATAAGAGATTCTCTCTCTGTCCCCCCGCCCCAATAACAAAATCAAGGTAGGACAATCTTGAGTTTCTTTTTCACTTATTCCACCCTTCCAGGGATAACCTGTGTTTACTTAGACTTTTGAATTCCAACTTTAAGAGCATCTCCATGAATTTTCATTCAATTTGTTACTGTCTCTGTAATATTGTCTCTGTAATTTAGTAATTAATCAGTGCTGAATTTACTTCCCTATGCTTAGTCCAATTGCTGAGTTGTGGTGGCACATAAATGTATGTAAATGCCATAAATGGTGGCACATAAATGTATCCTTATAGTCTTGGACATAAGAAAGATTGTACTGGCAAGGTTCTGTTGCAGAAAATGTTTCCAAAAATTTAATAAAGTACAAAAATGTTCTAATGTCATAGATGTTATAACATCCTATATTAATTACCAACAAAGGAAAGTTGATGTTACAACTGATGCCAAATTATTATTACTGATCCTGTTCCATTGTTTCTTTTGAAGCTGATTTGTTTTCCAAGCTTTTCCCTTAAGTAGTGGAAAGTAAAACAATATGCAGAAATGTTACTGCCGTCTTTGACACTGCAAAGAGAAAAAAAAAATCATTTGGAAAAAGGAGGGAAAGCAACGTATCGGCAGGCCTCCTGTTTCTGAAAGTTGCCTCTGAACGATAGCAGAACAATAAAGAGAAAGAAATTAGAGGTAATCAAGTCACCTTCAGCTGCCTTGACTTCTTTTCTCAACAGACCCAGAGAGTTGATGGAATCTATAAAACATCTGGAAAATTCCAGTTTGCATATACCTGTGCTAGTTTCAAAATATATCCCTTTGACTGGGCTAAATATGTGGGCTTTACCATGTGCCCTTCTATATTTTTCCATACATTAAAATTTATCACCTGCAGCCAAACAATCTCTCTGATTTGTGGCCGGGGTTAGGTTTCACTTGGAAATATTCTAAGAAACCAATTTTAGATATCCTGTTTTAGGTATTTAATATTTAAAATTATGGAAAATATTACTTCAGAAAGATGGAGTACTTTGGAAACACTTGTGGAACTACTATGGCCCCCTGATTTTTATGATTTATACTCTGTTTAATACAGAGAAAAATCTTTACGTACAGAGAAAAAATATTTATGTACAGCAAAAATAGAAAGTATTCCAAGTAAAACTGAATATTTCAGCAGGAGGATATAGATTATGCAATAAGACTTTTCAAGAAACTAGGCAATTGCTGGTGCAATATAGTAACTGAAATGCTGATTATTTAAGATAAAGTTTGGAAAATAAATTGAAAAAAACAAATTTTTCCTCGACTCTTTTTTGCTGTGGAACACCATCCCCACCTGTTGGTAGAAAATAAAAATGCACAGTGCACTATGTTTTTATATTGAAGTAATAGTGTAAATGAGGGAAACATCATATTTTTATATATTTAACTTCTTTATCTCTGACTGTAGAACTAAATTAATTATAAGGGTTTGTGGCACACCTAACATAAACATAATGCAGTCATAATTGAACAATGGTTCAGCAAATGCAAAATTTCACAGCCATTTTAACAAAAGTTAACAACATGTAAGCATCTCCGGATATGCAGTCAGCTCTTTGAAGCATTATGTCCTTTATTGAAACAGATGTTTTAAGTGGATAAAAAGTCCAAAAACATTAAACACTTTTTAAAAAATGTAAAAATGATAAAACATTTAAATTGACTGTAGAACTATAATTAATTCCCTTCCATTAATAAAGTTCTATGCTTTTAATTTAATTGAAATTTCCTTTTCTTTTCTAATTTAGCAAAATTGAAAGTGAGTTACTTTAACACAAACCAATTTTTGTGCTTTCTTCTTCAGTTGCATCCCCAGGTCCAAGATTATTATTAACTCTAAAGTTTAATTTAACAGTTCAAATCCTTACATATCAGTTTCCCAATTTCTGTGGTCTTCCAGCCATGTAATCATATATAGAAATATTGCCTAGCATAAATAGGCCCACAGAATTCAAACACATACAACGAAAGTTCCATAATATTTGGGATTCGATTTTTTTGTTATTAGATCAACTGACANTTTGACATGGTCTGTTTTTAACAAACCCATGCTGACTTCTAGTTATTACTTTACTCATTTTTAGATATTGGTAGATCTGTTCTTTTTATTATCTTCTAACTGGAGTGAAATTGTCTTCCAATGACGTGTTTCAATAGCTCTGGGAATAGACTGGCTACAGACTACAATCCATATAGTCACTGGGACTATAATGACATTAATATAAACTTCCCAGGAATCTAACAGTTTAACAATCTTAATCCCCTCCCCCTTCATTATCTCTCAAGGTTGCACCTTCAATTTATTGCTTCCATTTTATATAAACTTTGGGTGGCTTATATTAATTATGCAACCTATCCAGATGTCTTTGTAATGGCACAGACCCTAGTCTTTCATGAGTTCTGCAATGAATCTTATTCCTGAAGCCCAGGTTGCAAAAAAGAATTGCTAATAATGTTAAATACACAATTAATCTGCTTAAGAAATGTAATGGAAACACCACCACAATCAGTATTCCTTGCATTTCTTTTTGTAAAAACAAAATACACAGCCCAGCATATTGGCTTTTATTCCTCCAATTACTACCATCTTCCATTTATTTCTAAAAAATTTATGACTGCAGAAAATTTATCTGATATATATCTATAATATATCTTTGTATTTTGCATCTATGTATGTCTGTGTGCATGTATCCATCCATGCATCCATCCATTTGTCCATGCATTTGTGCTATGGAAGCTGGTCATTTTGGAGAAACACTGATCTCATTTTCTGTGACATGTGTGATCTCATGATATGATAAATATTACATCAAGGGTAATGTTTATTTATCAGCACTTATTGTGGTACCAAGCTTCATATATGTAAATCCTCTAATTTCTTGCATTCTGTTCTTTGCCCACAAGAAATTGGTCTAAATTTGGATTTAATAACTGACACACCATATGTTAAAAGTCTGGACATCACTCAAATGTTAATGGATCTCTTTTTAAAGTTTGCCCACATTATTCCCAGTCATGTTCTTTCGCAGTCCCCTTTTCGATTCATTCAACAAGTTCTATAAATTTCTGCAATCAAATAGTCTTTGACGAAGTCCATAATTCAGGATATAGTTTTGAAAACCTCTTTTTCATTATTAAGTTCCACATGTCCTCTGTCCATCATCCACAACTGGAGATGACCAAGAAGATAGAGGCCATCTTCAAGGAATACACATAATGCCCCCTAAACTGCCATCAAGACAATTGGTCTCATTGCTTAACTGTGTGTATAAACTCAGTATAAACTGAGTTTAAGTATAACTCCTCTTTCCATCTATGGCTATCAGACACATCTTCTGAACTTCTCCATTCCATAAACTCATATTATCTATAGAAATTTCAGCCCCTTAAATATCTCCATAACAGATAGTGTCAAAACAATAAGCACTTTGTTGATTGTCACAATAAGAATGGCACTCCTGGAAATCAATCACTCATTCCTCAATTAACATAGGTTAATTTGAATTATTGAGTGGTTAACAATAATTCTAAGCACCTAGAGCTATATATCCCCCTTTTATGACATATATTTATTTAAAATTCCTTCTGTTCCCTAGGATATGGTTTATAAAACAAGCCCGCTGTGGATATATGTAATATCAGAACTCTTGTTCAGCAGAAATGTTGTTCAGCAGAATTGTAGCAATGTAGCTTTTGTAATGAGAATGTCCAAACTTGCATCATATAAGTTGCCCTTAACCTTTACTTCTTAAGACATGCACCAAGGATTAGGGAAAGTTGCAAGACTTAGGATAGGGAAACATTTTAAACTTGTAGAATTGTGGGAATTACCTATAACTGATAGGTAATTGTGCCCATCCTTACCTTCTAAAACAACTTTTATAGTGAGAACTTTGCTGTGAGGTTCCCTTTAAATAGTACACTGACAGCAAATAGATTGGGCTGATATGAGTTCAGATGTTGATAGAAAAGTAATTACAGAAAGATTTGGTAAAATTTTGTAGTTATCTACGTGGAAAAAAATGTGTTTACTGGATTCCACGACTACTAATATGAGAGAAAGAAGTTTTTGTGCCTGTGCACATGTGTTTGTGAGACAGAATAAAAATATGGGCAATAAGAACAAAACATTGATTGTGAATCTCAAAGAAGACACTGTATTACATAGACAACCTTCTTTGCTTTCCATATGTAGCCGTAACATTAATAATGCTATTATTATTGAAAGCAGGAGACGATGAGTTCTAGTCCCACTTTAGGCATGAGAGCCAAGTGGGTGACCGCTCTCTCTCAGCCAACTCACCTCATAGGGTTATTGTTTTGTGGGGGCAACAGGAGAAGGATGGAATATTAGATATCTTAGTCTCTTGAGTTATTTATAAAGTAATAAAGCCCAGACTCGCTTTGTATAGAGAGATGAGAAATTTAATAAACTGTATGTAAATTTAATGAATTTAATACACATTTCTCTATTAGAGTAATTCTTATAATTCAACGCTGGTTTATGATGGAAATAAAACAAAAATTGAAAATAGAAACATAAATTGCTAAGAGAAACATTTTTGCTCAGTGTACTTACTGGCAATGTATGTACTTCGGTTATTCTTAACTGGTTCTCCAAATCTTGCACCTTATTTTTTAGCTCCAGATTTTCTGTTTCTAATTCATTAATCTGAAAAATATGCATGTATAAAAAAAAAATCAGAGAAATATTGCCAAGGTAAGAAAAAAAATCATACATTATCACACTACATTGAATAAGCTTAGAATAATATTGTACATTATTCACTACATTGAATAAGTCTAGAAAAATAAATCATCATGGAACAAAGCATTTATCATTAGTAAAACAAGGTGTATTTCTGGTATTAACATCACTATCATTAAAAGAGTCCCAAAATTTGTGTCATATTTGTATGATGGAAAAAAAACCCTGTCCAATATTAATTTACTGCATTATTTAAAAGAAAATGTATATTTTTAAGTTACCTAAAAACAGATAACAAACTTATTTCCACAATAGAGCCTTATCACAACTGAAGCATTGTATCCAGTTATACAGTATATATAAAACAATATATTATTCACCAATGACTTCCCATATAACCAATTTCTTCACAAAATAGATACAGAAATATGTTCCGCAAAATTAACAGAAACCCTCAATTTTTCTCTTATTGGGATCCTTTTACTGCTGGAACATTCAGACAGAAAGGTATATTTTCCATTTTTTCTTAAAGTTCCTAGTCCTCTGAGACAGATTTAGAAAAATACAGAAGGTAAGAAGGAAAATGATCAAAACACATCTTCCCCCTACTGGGTTGAAGAAACTTCTATCAGCAGAGTGACAAGAATTAGATACCATCCATTCCATGTATAAGTTTAAATTTAGCCCATGTTCTGTTATACAAACAGATTATTCTCCCATATCCTATAGTGAAGCATCCCACCGGTTTCTATTTTCTATTTCTATTCTAATAATATTACCATTTTTGTCTTATTTTTTTTATCAAGTTACTCTGTTCCCCATTTTCTGGTTTATAATCTCTAGGATAGCTTTATGTCTTACAGACATTACACCTGAAATTTCAATTTTATAATTCATCTGGATCATTTAAATATAACTCAAATATAACAAATGGGGCTTAAAATGACATACTCTATTTCCCTGAAAATAAACCTCCCTGGATAATAGGCCCAATCGGGCTTTTGAGCACATACGGTAAAATAAGACTTCCCCCAAAATAAACTCTCCCCGAAAATATTGCAACACAGCAGCAACCCTGAGGTGACTATGATCACTGCCTCCTGCACCTCAAAAATAATAAACCTCCCTGGATAATAGGCCCAATCGGGCTTTTGAGCACATACGGTAAAATAAGACTTCCCCCAAAATAAACTCTCCCCGAAAATATTGCAACACAGCAGCAACCCTGAGGTGACTATGATCACTGCCTCCTGCACCTCAAAAATAATAAACCTCCCTGAAAATAAGGCCATGCACTTATTTCGGGGAACAAAAGAAAACAAGACTCAGACTTATTTTTGGCGAAATACTGTACTTCCCATTAATAAATCTCCTATAAAATGACTTTTTATTCCATATATGGAATATCAATGACTCTTTAAAAAAAAAAAAAAAACTACGTAAGACATTTATTAAACTCAGACAAACTATGGAACTTA